TGGTCAACCTATGGTCATCTGACGTGCGTCAGGTGCAATCTGACGCAGGTTTTAATCTGACGCACAACATATATATAGTAAGAATTTTTTGTAATTACTGTAAGTACATATGCGTATCTAATCAATGAATACATACCAAATGAAGAAAGTGCTTCAGAATTTGCTGCAAGACACCAAATTCTGTTTCCTATTGGATGGTACTCATAATCTTTAATACATTGATTTATATAATTAGCATTTTTTTTTAATAATTCTCTAATTAATCGATAATTCTGATTTTTTTGCCACATTGTTTTATCAAATCATCGTCAGTGAAAAAAACTACAATACAGCGTGAGTTTGGCAGTAAACTTGTTTGCCACCATCCAAATCTACATGATTCTACTAAGGTATGATTATCAGTGTCCTTTGTTGGAATGTCTTTACAAGTTTTTGGTGTTGATTCAAATAAACATGCAAATGCCAATAGTTTATCAAATAAATAACCTTTTAAATTTGGATTAAATTTTCTAATACAACAACGATGACCACTTGCATCTATTAGAATTTTGCTGTAAATTGGATTTGGAACTTGTGCTGCAGAAAAAAAAGGAAATTATAGCATTAAATTTATTCATTTCATAATATTGTACAGTAAAAGACATCCAATTTATGTTATAGAGTGCCACTTTTTTGTGCTGATTTGTGTATAAATGATTCTAATTGGTTAATCAAATATATATATATATTTATAATTTTTATAAACCCTATAAAAAAATTTAAAAGAACATACTCCGACTTTAACTAGGTTATCGTTCCGGAAAATGCTCATTTTCCGGAATAAAACACAAATTCCCTGATTATTTCTATAAAATACTGAAAATTTTCGGATAGAAATCAAATTCAACCATTCGGATTCTAAGACCCGAATTTTACCTGGATTAGATTTGTATCTGGAAATTACTAGGATTTTATAGAAATAACCAGGAATTTATATGTGTTTTATTTCGAAAAAATAAGCATTTTCCCGGAACGATAACCTGGTGAAAGTCGGTGTATGTTTTTTTAAAATTTTTATAGGGAAATTTTAACTTATAACATTTTTAAAACAAAATAAAATATAATTTGTCAAGGGATTTCTTGTTTAACTTGTTTTAAAAAGCTTTCTTATTGATTAGGAGTGGATATGTTTTACTGTCTGGTGTTGTACATTTGAACTTTTTTCTTAAACCTCTTGAATCTGACCTCTGATAAATGAAATAATAATAACATTATATTCTCAAA